TAATCCAGTTCTTCACTGTCCAAGCCTCTTTTCAACCGTACGGTACAACTCGAGCTCTTTTTAACCTTACAACAACTAAAGTTTTAATCAATTCGATCAATAGTCACAAATAATCTAATGTTTCAAATCAGACACACTCTTCAGTGCATGGTCAATGTATGAACTCCTCAATTTATATTTTAGGGCTGGCTTAAGACGACAGAGGCTCGCCAAATTAGACGTGATCTGGCAAAAGAATGTATCCAGGCACAAACTGCGAAGTGCGAATTATTCTGGTTATATATACTTGACAAAAAATGTAAGAGTTGAATGACACCAGAAAATAGGGGCTGCACGTTGTGCCAAATGCGCACAGTCTCATTACATGTAGTGAGGTCATCGATTGACGTGTGATAATCTAAGGCCTAGAAGTGGAGGAACACCCATTTCTTACATGCTAATCCCAACACGCGTGATTTAAACACACGTTACTCACGTGCAGGCCTACGAGTGAGTACTACGATATATTTGACACGAGTGCGCTGCTCATATGTCAATAAGCTTGCGTTCAGTATGAAGTGCATAAGGCTGCTGCGTTTTGATAGCATGCATACGTACGTTTTACTTTTTAGCCCGCGAACGTTACCCTCTCAAAAACGCGCTTGCACTCATGTACGTCCGTACTTTGTCGTGTATGTCATAACGATCATTTTTCGTGTACGTGGCACAATTTTGCTGCGCATACGTCAACAAGCACTCATTTCATGGCTTCAACACCAACGTTCCAGAAACATTGATACTTCAAAAACACACGTGGAACGTTTCCTCGCTAGTATGTTCAAATAAACAGTGGCTCATGGAGTGCCCTCGTAATAATAACCAAGTTAAGAATTTTGGTGTAGTCTGGACTTAGGTTTAGTTCCTAAGTTCCCTTCAGTTTGAGTTTAAACAGAAAACTGTGCAACGAATCGGATAAGAGTCATCGATAGTGAGATGGAGAAGTAATAAGTGATGTATGAACTAATCTGACTTCGGACGCGGTCACAAGACAAACTAAAAAAAAGTTCTCACCTCCTTTTGGGAAATTTCCCTTGGCAGCACGACAGGGACGGCAATGTGTGCTCCAAAATCCTGGTCAATGATGGATTTTACTTCGTAATTAGACCCGAAGGAAAGCGTGTATTCCTGGAACTGTGAAAACGAAAACGCGCCCATGGTTATTTGTTGCCATAGAATATTACATTTACTTTGGACATTTTAGTTTTAGATAGAGACATTTACACGATACACATTTACATGAATTTACATCGAATACATAGAATTTGCCTCCCTAATCGCTTCCCTACAATGTAGGTCCACTAACCTTCTGCATCTGACTTGATGAACCAGTGATCACACTCGTACGTTTTTCCACCCCGTTTATGTAGACTTTATTGTCACCATAGACTGATATGCACAAGTGCACCCACTCGCGTATGGGCATCTTGAAGTCCAGCACCATGGAGATCAATGAGTACCCTTCACTGAAGTACAAATCTTGAGAACCGACTGTGAAAAAAATGTTTAATGAAAAAATAAGTTTACCTAAAGTTGTATGTTACTTCGCGTGTGGTGTGTTCGTCAAGCGAAAATATGTGAAGAAAATTTCGAGTTCTGACATGTTAATTTGAGGCATTTATAATGAAATAAAAAAGACTCGTTACGTAACTGTGGGTCATAATTACATACTATTTCCTGGGGAAGTTCTAAAGTGAAAGTGAAAGACAGGGATAGATAATAAGACATATATTAATGAATTTATTCATCAATTTAATATTATATGTGATGCAGCATAAATTGAAATCGGATTATTTTCAACGAATAACTGGATGATCAGACAGAGATTAGCGTTTTTGTAAGGGAGAATGACTTGAGAGCAGATAAAAATTTAAGCAAGTTGTTTTGTTTACGGGCATAGAAGTCATAGTTGACTTTTATGAAGAAACTTACACAAGACGAGACTCAGAGGGTAGAGAAAGAGGAAGTTGCAGGACTCGTCTCCCAGGAAGAGCATCTTGAAGTGAAGGCAGTAGGAGACGGTGGTCAGGTTGGTAGGCAGCGAGAACCTGGTACCCAAATACGGCGTGTCGAGCAGGTAGTTGATCTTCTGGTGTTCGCTCATGGAGAACGCCGGTGTTCCTGGCAAAAACGCTCCATAGAAAACGCCGAACAAGTGATGTATGAACAAGTGATGTATTTCTCATCTCATCACTAGTGACTAAATGTTATCATATCTGTTCTATTACGTGGATGGCCTATGCTGATTTATGAGACGCTCGTCCTTATAGCAAAAATATCAATTTTTATTTTCATTGTGATCAATACTTTTTACTTTTTATTCCTCCGTAAATTTTAAAATGAACATGTTAATTTGGAAAGAATAAGCATTGAAATATTGAAAGTTACTGAGAAAAAATTCTTTAGATTTTTCGTACCGTGAACAAGATTCTGGCGCATCATGCAAGTCAGTACAACTCCTTGCAGGAGCCACAGGGCCCGTAGCTGTGCCATTGTAGCGCTGCCAACGCCGGCAAACCACCTGATGAAAAAGTCCTTGGAAGATGATAGTTGTTTGTGGACGAACTTACCACAATATACAGTACATTATTATACCATATCCATAGTGCACTATCTGGCTACCAATGCATGCAGCACCTACACCGCGTGATGAATGGCCAGAATGGGTAACGATTAAAATGTATTAAATACTCGTCTGAATAGAAGCGCAGAATACGCTTACATGAAAAAAGTACAGAAGATTTACTGAGTACTAGACAAGAACTATATAAACTCTAGAAATCTATTATTATTTCGTAATATTGCAAGCAGAAGCATAAAAAAACACTGCCCGCCCTATGAACTTGAGTTTCTACGCCACAGCTTCTGCTCTGTCACTTACTCTGCAGGTGCATGCGAGTGCCCCTTGCTGGTTGTGGCTACTTATCAAAACGCTGCATACAAAGTTTGCCCGTATTCGATGTTAATAGCAGCCTTTAGCTAACGAGTCAGTTACAGCAAAAATAGTAATTGCAAAATTTACTTTAGAGTTCTTTTTACTTCAAAAGAGGTTCCTCCCATTCTACGTATTCAACCAAGCCTGCTGTAACAAATTAAAAATAAAACAAATTTAAAAATTAAAAGATCGTCTATTGTGGAGACTCAACTTTGAAAGAATGATGCTATGAAGTGATATTTAATCTAATATGATAACGATACCTATTCACTAAGTATAAGAGGGTACGCTGATACTAGAACATCAATGCTCCGCAAGATAAACGTGACGTTTTCACCTGCTTTAAGAGGCGCTGGGATGCAGAGGGGGATGAGCGGAGCAGGCTTCTGACCAACAGCAGCCGAAGACTGGGCATTTATAAACTCTAGACCATGTACATACATTGACAGATTCTTCAACCAAGGTGAAGATTTACTCGTTAATGATGCACAATAATTTTGTGTTATCG